GGGAGCGCCGCGCATGCGTGGTTCCGCCCCCTGCGCCGGCCGAGGCGTAGCTGGCAAGCGGCAGAGACGGAGCAGGCCGACCACCAGCTGGCCCAGCCCAAGGGAGGTAAGGCACCCGCCGGAAAAGGGGGAAAAAAATGGCGGACAGCCTTGCTTGGCGACCCCCGTGAAATGGTCGATCGACCCCAAATGGGGTCGCAACCCATAGGTTGAGAACCGCTGCCTTAAGGGATAGCCTTCTGGGTAATGTAGTTTAAGTTACCTGGTCATATCTGTGTTCGGACTGGCCACTGGGAGGGACTTCGGATTAGGTACCAGGATTTCCTGGCTACGTACCAGACAGCGAGGTCTTTATGAATTCCAGCCACTAGAACCGTTTGTTTTGTTAGCATGGAAGAAACTATCTTTTTTTTTTAACCGACGTGTTGGGGTAGAGATTATGCAAAGAGTGTCAGAAGAATCCCTACAGTAACTGTAAATTAATGTTTTGAGAATGCCCAATGAATTAAAATAGTCTGCATGAGACCCTTCCGTGGAGTTAATCTGCCTGCATCAAGCCCCCTTTTCTTTGATGCAGAACAGGGTGGGGGGTGGTTGAGCTTGGAAGGAGACTTCACAGGAAGGACCCCGGTGTCGTAGGAATAATCTCATTTCGAAGCGAGATGGGTGGCAAATAAAATCTCATAATTACCATCCCTGCCTGATCATGCAACGACCCGTAATAATCATACAACGACCGTCATGACGTTGTTTTCTCCAGATTTCTGTCCTCAGTTCTGCCATTCAGTTTTGTACTGTAACTTACAACGGGCGTCTCGCTTCCCCACAGCCCCCGTTTATCTTCATCTGCTTCTCCTTTACAGTTCTTCTGAAGCAAAACCCCCACCCCCACCCCCATTATGGCCTTTCAGCGTGGGAGTCCAAACCAGCAGTTTTAATTTCAATTCCTTATTACTAGCCAGCTGAAATAAACTCCCCGAAAGCCACAAGGCAGTTTCTGGTTCCCTTTTTGCCCTTTTCCCCAGGGAAGTCCAGCAGGGTCTGGTTGTCTTTCGGCTCGGCCCCTCGGCTAACCATCCCCCTCCCCCCCCCGTCTTCTACCCCAGGACCCCAATGTGGCGGACGCGCCCCTGGCCTTGAAGCTGCAGGTCACCGAAGCCCCTCGCTGCACCATCCGGACCTCCGGCACGTCCGTCTCCGTCTCAGCTCTGCTCAACATCTTCTTGGCCCCCCCGGAGCAGCCCCTAATTCTGCTTTCCAGCCTGACCATGGTGAGCCCTCCGCCCCGGGACCCCCTGCCCTGGGGAGGGGTTTCCATCCTTCCCTCCTGGTGCGGAGCCATGGGCGTCCTGGGCCAGGGGGACACGGCTTCCAAGATCCACGAGGTCCGACGGGGGGGGGGGCAGAGCTGAGGGAGGGGTCCACAGGCCGTGCTCTGGGCAGCCCTCCCCCATTGTGGCCTCTCCCCCCCCCACAGGAATCCCGCCTCAGTGCCAAGGTGGTGCTTCACAGCAAGGCTCTTCGGGTGCAGCTGGACCTCCGAAGGTAGCGCTGGGGGTCCCTGGGGGTCCCTGGGGGTGTGAGAGTGACCAGTGGGTCCAATTTGGCAGAGCTTCTGGCCCTCACCCCCCTTCTCTCTTCCCCCCTTCAGGTTCCGGATCTACTCCACCCAGTCGGCCCTTGAATCTTTGGCAGTAAGTCTTTTAGGCGAGGGAGGGGCAAAGCCTGTCCTGACCACTGGGGGAGGGGCTGTGCTTAGTCCCCCCCCCCAGCCCAAAGGTGCTAGGATGGACTGGTCCCAACCCCTCTCCCCTCTGCCCCCTCCAGCTCCTCCCCTTGCAAGCCCCCCTGAAGACGCTGCTGCAAATGACCATCATGCCCTTCCTCAACGGTAGGCGGGGGGGGGGGCGTGTGGGGCAGCCCCGTGCGGGGAGGGAGGTGGATCCTTTGCCTCCGGGTGAGTGGCTGGGCTGCAGAAGAGGGGCTGTGGGGTGAAGCACGTGGATTCAGCAGTGCCCAAGACCAGCAAAGCCCCCTCCTCTTCCTTGCAGAGAAGACCAAGAGGGGGGTCCGGATCCCCCTGCCCGAAGGCATGGACTTCACCAAGGAGGCCATCAGGAGCCACTTGGTAAGTAGGACCCCTCCCACCCGGGCTGCCTGCAGAGCCCCTCCAGGTGGGACCTATGGAGCTGGGATGCTCTGCGCCCCCCCCCCAAGACCACCCCCCCCACCCACTCACCCTCCTGCTTGCCTCTCCAGGGCTACCTCACCATCGGGGCCGACCTGCAATTCACCAAAGGGCTACGGGAGGTCATCGAGAAGCTCCGGGCGACACCCAGGCCTTCTCTGGCCCCCAGGGCTGCGTAGGGGCCCTGGGTCTCGCCCCCCACCTGCTTCGATCGTCACCTGCCTGCCCCAGCCAGGAGGGCCCCTCTGCCCTGCCGGACACCAGGGTCTTTGTAAGCCTCTGGGACAGCTGAATAAAGAGCTACGCTGCCCGACTCCGCCTCCTGTCTTAAGCAAGGGGTCGCACGTGGGGAGGGCTCTTCTCCAATCCTTACAACGGCCCTGCCAGGTAGGCTGGCCCAGCCACCCCGTGGGACCCACTGGAAAGGTGAACGGAGGCCTCCTGCCTTGTGCTGCAGCTCCAGGGACTCGGAGGCCCCTCTGGGCCAACCCCCTCCCCCCAAGACTCCAGGCTTCCCCCCCCCCAGCAAAGGGGAGCCCCCACCATCTGCTCCATTGTAGACCACCCCCTCCTGCCGAAAAAATGCACATGGGGCCAAAGTCTTGGTGATCCATCCAGGCTCAGCGCAGCACCTGCAGCATCTCTGGATTTCAACCCAAAAGGCCTTGACTGGATTTAGGCTCCGTTGTGGGGGGGGGGGATGCTGAGGGGGGCAGAGCTCGCACTCCCAAGTCAGAGATCTCTGCGTTGGCTGCTGAGGGAGTCCAAAGTTTTCTTGGGCTGAACCAGGCACACCTGGCAGCAGCACCTCAAAATCCTAAGCCCTAAAAGGGGACACTGAACGGTTGCTGAAAGACGCAACGGAGCTCCAGAAGCTGCAACTCGGCTGCAGATTCTGGGATAGTCAGACAGGCAGCTGTCCCACCGCCTCCCTCTCCGCAGGGTGAGGGCACAACCGGATTGACACACTTCCCCCCCTTAATTTGGGAGAGGCAGCTGGCTGGTGGGTGGGGCAGTGAGAGCTTCTGCAGCGGACTGGGGCTCTGGGCAGCCCCTGAAGCAGGCACCCCCTTCCTGGAGGGGGGGGCAGGCTGTGCCAGAACCCCGGGTTGCTGCAGCTGGTGAGGCCCCGGAGGCTGGCACTCCTGCCGGCTGCCCATTGCTCAGCTTGGCTGCTGATCCTCCCCACAAGCAGCTTCTGGGGGCAGCCCAGAGGGCAGGGCTGGAGGTGAGAAGGAAGGAAAGAGCAAGGAAGAGATGAGGATAATAACAGAAGTAACAGTTGGAAGGGACCTTCGAGGTCTTCTAGTCCAACCCAGTGGTGGGATTCAGCCAGTTCGCAGCAGTTCGGCGGAACCAGTAGCTAATTTTTTGTTGACTTTGGAGAACCGGCTGAAGCCCCAGCCCTTTTTCGCCCACTTCCAGAAGTCTGCTCTGAGATGGGGAGGCCTCCCAGGCCCAGAACGGCTCACCGGAAGTGCGTGGACGCCACTTCCGGAAGTCTGTTCTGGGCCTCAGGGGCCCAGACCCAGAACAGACTTCCGGAAGGGGTGTCCACTCAGAGAACCGGTTGTTCAGGAATTTGAATCCCACCACTGGTCCAACTCCTTGTTCAAGCAGGAAATCTGAGACCAGAATTCCTGAGCCAGCATGGGGGAACTATGGCCCCCTCATGACTCGTGGACTTCAACTCCCAGAATTCCTGAGCCAGCATGGGGGAACTATGGCCCCCTCATGACTCGAGGACTTCAACTCCCAGAATTCCTGAGCCAGCATG